AAAGGAAAAAGAAAAATTCACACAAAAAAAGGAAAAGAAATAAATGTTAAGAAATTAACTTTGAAAGACTAAAGAATCATGGGGAAAAAAAGTCATGAATTCTATGTGCTGTATTCCCCTAGTGCTGGAGTTCTGCTGTTCTTCTTGATCGGTAAACTTGGTCTTGGCTGGCTGTTCCGGCTCATCTTCTGGGGGAGGGGCCTGTTGCTGTGATTCTCAAATTTCTTTGCCTGAGACAGAATTGCACTGCCCTTGCAAGGGGCGGGGCTAAATAATCTGCTCGTGTTTGCTCTCGGGAGCTTTTGTTCCCTTCAAGCTTTCCGTACAGCTTTGGAGGATGAGAGTGAAAATGGTGACCTCCCAATCTCCACCCTGGTGGAGCCGAGTACTTGGTGCCCCACTCCTCAGTGAGCCCCCAGAAAAAGCATTCAATCACTCCTGTCTCCCTGGTCTCTGGCTGCACTCTGTGCTCACCCGGCCTTTGACCGAGCATTTGTATCTCTTGCACACGACACTGTGTGGAGTGGAGCACATTCCTTCAGTGCACTCCTGGGGGAGGAAGGGGAGTCTCCCTGGATCTGCTGCTTTTTGGGTCCCTCCTGGAGGAGCAGTGGCCTGACTGTGCCGCAGATTACGGTTTATGGCAACCCTGAGCTGCGAGCCCACTCCTCCAGCTGGCTTCCCCGCTCTGATACCTGGGACCTCTGCTGCACTCAGGCACCCCTGGTCTTTCTGTGACCCCAAGGGTCTTGAGACCACACTGTTCCAGCATGGGTTACATCCCCTGCTTAGCCACTGGAGCAACATCCCTCAGTGGAGCAGACTTTTAGAAGTTCCAATTTTGTGCTCCGCTGCTCTATCACTTGCCAGTAGCTGGCTTCCCCTGCCCCCCATCTGTCTTCCCAAATATTGCCTCAGATTCACTTCTCCACACATCCTACCTTCCAGAAAGTGGTCGCTTTTCTGTTCAGAGAGTTGCTGCTATTCTTTTCTTCCTTCTTCTGTTGAGTTTGTAGGTGTTCTGAATGGTTTGATACCTATCTAGCTGAATTCCTGGGACCAGACAAAATTTAGGTCTCCTACTTCGCCTCCATCTTGCTCCTCCTCCCAATTACTGGCTTTTATAATTTTGGATTCTTACTCCATTTTTAATTTTTATTATTTCATTTTATTTTTTGTTTAATTTTATTTTATTAAAGATTTTTATTTATTTGTCTGAGAGAGAGCGAGAGCGAGAGAGAGAGAGCACAAGCAGGGGGAGTGGCAGGCAGAGGGAGAAGCAGGCTCCCTGCCAAGCAAGGAGCCTGATATGGGACTTGATCCCAGGACTCTGGGATCGTGACCTGAGCCAAAGGCAGAGGCTTAACTAACTGAGCCACCCAGGCATCCCTCTTATTCAGTTTTTTAAAACATTACCTTTATCCCATTCTTTTACTTTCATCTTCTGAAATCCTCATTAAACAAAATATTAGGCCTTCTTACATTATCTACCCTATTAATGTTTCTTCTGTGTTTTGTATCATTTTATATCTTTTATTTTTTAAATTATTTATTTAAATTAACATATAATGTATTATTTGTTTCAGGGGTACAGTTCTGTGATTCACCAGTCTTACACAATATCCAGGATTCACAACACATACCCTCCCCAGTGTCCATCACCCAGCCATCCCATCTCCAACCCGCTCCCCCTTTCCCCTCAAGAAATCCTCAGTTTGTTTCCTAAGTTTAAGAGTCTCTTACGGTTTGTCTCCCTCTCTGGTTTCATTTTGTTCCATTTTTCCTCTCTTCCCCTCTGATCCTCTGCCTTGTTTCTTAAATTCCGCATGTGTGTGAGAACATATGATAATTGTCTTTCTCTGATTGACTCATTTCTCTTATCATAATACCTCTAGTTCCATTTAATCTCTTTTAGCTGCATTCTGGCTAAATTTTTTTCCGATCAGTCTTCTAATTCACCAGCTCTTTTTTCTGTATCCTATCAGCTACCAAACATGTACATTGAGATCTTAGTTTTGGTTATTTATCTTTTCATTTCTAGAAGTTCTGTTTTTGTTTTGTTTTGTTTTTTTAATAGTCTTTGCTTTCTTTTAGTTTATAGTATGATTGGTAGATGTTTTTCATGTTCTTTTATCTTTTTTAATCGTTAGAAGTGTACTTGTTTTATATTTGTGCCTGATAATTCTGGTATCTGAGATCCAAATTGGAATTTTTTCCTGCATGTTCTTATTTATGGTGCCCCATTTTTTTGGTGCCTGATTATTTTTGACTATGTGCTTATCATTGCCCTTGAATAATTATTTGTGTAGTTTCACTATGGGCTCGGATGAAGGCATTTTTCTCTAGATATTATTTTTTGCATATATTTTTGCCAGTTATGTGTACACTGTTTATAGGAAAAACGCTCCTGTCTTTTACTTTCATATTACTATCATATTCAGAACTCTCTACATTGGGGCACTTCGGTGGCTCAGTTGGTTAAGTATCTGACTTCGGCTCAGGTCATCATCTCAGGGTCTTGGGATCGAGCCCCATGTCAGGCTCCCTGCTCAGTGGGGAGTTTGCTTCTCCCTCTTCCCCTGTCCCCCATTCGTGCTCTCTCTCTCTCTCAAACCCTCCCCTCCAAAAAAACCCCAGAACCTCTCTGCACCACTTTTGACACCAGATGTGTGGGTTTCTACACCAAGCAATTCTTCAGCGACATCTGGGTGTCCTACAGTTCAGTTCAATTCTGATTACAGCCAGAGTTAGTGTAGACCACACAGGTTAGGGCTGAGTCTCATAAATCTACCACTTCCTCTTTAGATACCAGTTGAAAGTCTAGCTTGTCACTTGTAGTTCTGACCAACTGGCTATGAATCAGAGGTTCCCATGACCTCATCCTTGGGTTCGATTAACTTGTATCATCCTCCTGACATGTATGTTTAGCTACCTGGAAGCTCCCAAACCTTGTACTTTTGGGATTTTTATGGAGGTTTCATCATGTAGGCATGCTCAGTCTTTAACTCAATTGCCAGTACTTCCCTACTTCCCAGAGGATGGGGATGGGGTGAAAGTTTCAAGCTTTTAATTATGGTTTAGTCTTTCTGGTGACCCGTCTTCATCCTGATGCTATCTAGGAGCCCACTAAGAGAGTTACCTCATTAAAGCAAAAGACATTCATATTACCCAAGAAATGCCAAGGGATTTAGAAGCTCTGTCAGAAACTGGGGTCAAAGACCAAATATTAGAACAAAAAATGGTCCTAGTGCTCTTATAATTTAGGAAATTACAAGGGTTTTAAGAGATCTTTCCCAGGAACTAAGGGCAGAGAACAATATATATATTTTCCATTATTTTACACACCATTAATCAGAATCTACTTAAACTTAGTTCAAAGCTTAACATTCCCTGACCCACCCAGACTACATGTTTGCAAATCACTATGCAAGGGCTTCAGTCAACTCCAGACTTCTCAGTGGTAGTTTTCTTCTTCCTAAGTCCTCTTATCCCTGTCCTCTTCCTCCTCCTTATTCTTTTCTCCCCCTTGATCCAAGGCAGTCTTGCTTTAATGTACTTGGAGTTGGGATAGAAGGTAAGAGAGGACTTGCATAGTTCTGAATCAGCTCCACTGTGAGAGCATTAGCCCTTTCAATCCCCAGCTTATTGTGGGAAGTGTCTCTTATGAAACTGTCACCTCTGATGGGCTCTGGGCTTGACTTATGTCTCTCTTTGATGCCATTTAACCAAACTCATGTGTACTAGTGTTGGCAAATGCTCACAGTACAATAATAATAGCATTAGTCCTCAGTTTACCCCAGAATTTAGCTTGGTAGTTTTTATAAGGTTTTAATGTTTTTAAGGTGGTGTTTCTTCATATTTTATCCAACATTTTTAGTAAATTAAGTAGGAGAATTACTCTGAATAATTTAGTCTGCCATTATCAGAAAACTTTGATAATCTGTTTAGCATTATATTCTAGTTTATAATTTCTCTTTTATCAGCTGAATCTAGTAGGCTGTTGAGATCTATATGTCAAGTTTAAAATTTTTAATTATTATTTTTCTTATTTTTAGAAGCTCCATTTTATTCTTCTTTAAGTCGGTCTGGTCATTTTATCATTTTTTGTCCCTTAATTATATTTTCAATATCTTTTTTCTTAATTTCTGTGAGCATAAATATGTTTTTTATTCTATATCTGATTATTCCATTATTTGAGGCCTTTGTAGGTCATGGTACGCTTTCTTATATTTGGCTGGCTTTTAGTCTATTATTTTTGGTGGTTCATTTCTCATGTATTTTGTAAATTTTTTTTTTTTTTAAACTATGGGCTCATGTTAATTGGAATATGGGAATTCTCTGAGGTCTGGTAAGTTAACGTGTGTTTTTCCAGGGAGTATTTGCATTTGTTTTTTGATGGGTTTTTGAAACTCTGCAATACCAAGATCACGTGTGTGTGTGTGTGTGTGTGTTTTCAGACCACACAGATAATAAGAATTCCCCCTTAAACTTGTCTGAACGTAGTTTTTGTTCATGAATTTTCTAGTGAGTGTTTTCTTCTTTACATTTATAGCCATAGCTGAGACTTGCAAGTTTCCTGTTTCTTTGTATACAGTGGCCTTTTCTAGTTTTCCCTTTCACTGGGCATGTTATTGCTTGAGATACCTTACTTTTTTTTGTGGGGAAATCTCTAATATGTTTTCTCATGCTGTATTGTCCCCAGATTTCATTCCTTGTCCTTTATGCACAGAGACCTTCAAAACCAAAGTTGGCAGTAGCGTGCATTAGCAGATACCTCTGGGTACCATCTACCTTCAGGACGCCTTTGCCTACCTGGATTTAACCTTTTTCTTACTTCTTTAACCTTAGGTTATTTCTCTTATTCTCCTACCACCTCAGTGTACATTGGAAAGACTTTTTTAACCCTTTATTCAACATTCTTAAGGAAGGCGCTTCAGGATATCTCGTTACCTCATTGCCTTAATATTTCTCAAATGTTACTTTTAATGTTTCTTTTATAGGATTCAGTTTAGCTGCATTTAAAAGAAACAAGAGGAAACTAGAGCTGGCAGAAAGGGTGGAAACAGATTTCATTCAACTAAAGAAAAGAAGACAATCAAGTGAAAAGGTCAGGAGGTGTTTGAAATATTAATCATTAATGTATCATAATGATATCTATATCTGCATTTAGACATAAGCTTTAGAATAGTACTTTCCAGTAGAAATATAATGCATGCCACATATGTACTTTTAAGTTTTCTAGTAGATACATTTTAAAAAAGTAAGAAGAAACAGGTGAAATTAATTTTAATGATTATTTTATGTAAACCAGTGAATCCAAAATGTCCCTTCAAAAATTTAACCAATGAAAAAATTATTAGTGAGCTGTTGAGTTTTCTTTTTTCTTTTTTCTTTTTTATTAAGTCTTTAAAACCAGTGTATATTTTATACTTACAACACATCTCAGTTATGGCACTAAGTTTTCATTAGAAATATTTGGTTTGTACTTAAATTTCATAAAATTGACAGTTGAAAAAGTAGGTCTACATAACAGGTTATTCTAAACATACTTTAAACTTTCTAGTAATTGAATTGAATATGTTTTTAAAATTAAAATTAGTTAACATTTAGTAAAATTAAAAATTCAGTTTCTCATATGCTCTTGCCACATTTTAAGTGCTCAGTAGCTACATGTGGCCCATGACTACTGTTTTGGTTCTTGCAGTTCTAGATAATGATTCTTAACATGGCTGATTAGAGGGTAGAGTGTGTTATAAGGAAATGTATATATTGGATTCATGTAGATATTTTTACATTCTAATTACATGTCTCTGTTTTTTAGTCTTTTGCATTCTATGTTTGCATTTTGCACATTAGTGTACCATCATGAGTCTATGTGTCGCATTTCTTAGGTGTTTTGAGGGGTAGACAGAAGTTGAAAGCCACAACATTCTTGCTCAGCCTGTAGCTTGGTTTGTTATCACGCAATTCATGATGGGTGTCTCACATCACAGGCATTTGATGTACTTTGACATCTCATTAATGTTCTTTATTGGTTATTCCTTTTATAATTGCTCATATATTGGTTTATGCTTTCTGTCACAGTTTTATATTATTTACTCTATGTAAATGCATAAGTTATCTTTCATAGTGATATATACTTTCCCGGTATGTTGCTACAAGGAACAATTAATCAAACATTTTGGTCCAAATCTTTTCATTTTTCTGCCAAAAAAGAGTAGGAAATTAGGAGGTGAATGAACAAATTAGTAAGTAGGTCTTGGTGAAAATGGATAGTAGTGTGGTTCCATTTCTTAGGTTTCTTTATCCCATGTGATATCTGAGTGAGCAAATTTAAGACTTTTGACCTTTTAAAAAACTGTGATACAATTTGCATGGCAGTGAGTAATTTAATCATTTTTATAAATATGTATACCCATGTAACCCACACGCCTGTCAAGATGTAGAACATTTCCAGTTCTTTTTGTGCTTCCTTCCAACCAGTCTCCACCCTCTACAGGCAACTGCTGCTCTGATTTTTCTCACCATAGATGTTTTGTACTGTTCTTAAACTTTATATAGTTGAGGGGCACCTGGGTGGCTCAGTCGTTAAGCATCTGCCTTCGGCTCAGGTCATGATCCCAGGGTCCTGGGATCGAGCCCCGCATCGGGCTCCCTGCTCCGTGGGAAGCCTGCTTCTCCCTCTCCCACTCCCCCTGCTTGTGTTTCCTCTCTCGCTATATCTCGCTGTCAAATAAATAAAATTAAAAAAAAAAACAAAACAACTTTATATAGTTGAAATCATGCAGAAGGTACTCTTTTCTGTTTGGTTGATTTCACAAAGTGCTTTTGAGACACTTATCACTGGCTCATTCTTTTTTATGTACTGAGTAATTAATATTCCCTAGTAAGAATATACTATAATTTGTTTTTCCATTCTCCTATTGATGGACATTTGGTTTGTTTCCAGATTTTAACTATTGTGAATAAAGTTGCTCTGAACGGTCTTTTTTTTTTTTTTTAAGATTATTTATTTATTTGACAGAGAGAGAGAGAGAGCACAAGCAGGGGGAGCTGCAGGCAGAGGGAGAGGGAGAAGCAGGCTCTCCGCTGAGCAAGGAGCCCAATGCGGGGCTCGATCCCAGGACCCCGGGATCATGACCTGAGCTGAAGGCAGACGCTTAACTGACTGAGCCACCCAGGTGCCTCTGCTCTGAACATTCTTATACAGATTTTTTTTTTTTTTTATGTGAGTTTAGGATTTTTATGCAGAGAAGTACCAGTTGATCTCATAGAGAATATATTTAGGGGGTCTTATTCAGAAGACCCATTTTTTTCTTCAGAAAATATTTATTAAGCAGTTACTCTTGGTACTGAGCTGGGTAGTAAGAAAAGCAGTGGTGAACAAGGTGGAGGAAATTCATGCAATAATGAAACTTCACATTTTAGTGGATAGAAACAGAAACATAGAAGTATATAATGAAGTAAGCTAGTTACCATGTTTGGTAACTGTTAGAAAGGAAAAAACTCCCCATAAGATGGTGTGATACAGAGTAACTTGGATGTGAGAGACACAAAAAAGCCCCAAAGGAAGACTCCTTTAGTTAGAGTGATCAAGACAGGTCTCTCTGAGGACATAATATTTGAAAAATAAGTTGTGAGTTTTATGAAGAGTCAGTAGAACTCATTCCAGGCAGAATGAACTGCATGTGCAATGGCCCTGGTGGGGAGTTGCCATATTGGAGGGATGGAGAAGAGCCATCAGTATGCCTAAAGCAGAGTGCAAGGGGAGAATGGTATGAAATGAAGCTGGGGAGGTAGCTAGGTGCTGGCTCCATTAGGATCTAGTAGATATGGCAAGGAGTTTCCGTTTTATTTCATGAATAATGAGTAGCCATTGAAGAGTTAAAAGTAGAGAAGTGATGCTGTCTCATTCACTTTTTACCGAGTTCTCTTGGGCTGTTTTGTGTTGTATGGATCGAGGGTGAGGGCAAGAGGAGAAGTGAGGAGACTAGTTAGGAAGTTATTACAGTTGGGAGATGGTGACACTGTGGACTGATAGGGGTGAAATTGGAGAGAAGTGAATATATCAGGGATATCTTTTGAAAGTTCCTAGAAAAACAGGCAGTATTGCTCCCTTAGGTATTGGCAAGGAAGAGAGAAGAATGAAAGGTTTTAGCTTCAGTGACTGAGTAGTGCCATTTACTGAGGTGAGGAGGCCTGGAGGAGGCATGGCTTCATGGTGATAGAGGTGGGAAGTGGAAATTTGCCCCATTTCCCTTTAATGGACTCAGATTAACCAATACTTTACATTTTCGCCATAAGACATATTACCTGATGCCAACAGCACCCTAAACACCCTAAAGCTAATAGACCATCATTTAGTGTACCATGCTCCTCTGCTCCTTTCAGTTGAATTATGTGCCACCAAGAGCCCCATTATGCTTGTTACTATCATTGTAATTATTATTGTAATTAAATAGTTCATTAAGCGTCACGTAAACTGATGAATACTGAGTTTAAAAAGAGAGTTGTGGGTTTGAAAATGAAGACTGTTGTTTGTGAGCTGACTTGAAAAAAATAGAGTTGGTTCTTAAAAAATTGCCATAGAATTAAGTATAGGCAAGCCAGCTGTAAGAGATTGAGAGAGAAATCATAAAAATCTAAAAGCATTCTGGGTGTGTTGTTAGTGTCTTTATGTTCTTGTTCTATTTTAGATAAAACGAAACTTGAAATCACAGGACAATTCAGTGTATTATAGTTTATGTAAGAAAGATGATACAGAACATTTAGTTGTGGGCCTGCATTCAAAGAAAAGGCTTTGGTCTTATATAAAAAGATTGGCTAATGAATGAAGCTTTGTATTTTAAATAAAAAGAAAATGTTTAAGTTATGTGTACCTTTGTTTTTAAATGATTCTTCACTTTACCCAGAGAATATTCAACTTTTGAAAAATTTAACCAACCACTCACCATACTGGTTAGGAGGATTTTTCAATAAAAAGCTTGATATAGCAGGAGGAAAGATTAACTGTGGAGTTGGGTTATATGCATCTGAAGCTATGGACAGATCAGAAGGGAGATTCCCACTTGGAAATTATTGGCATCAAAATGAATATAAATACATGTGGCTAGATGAGCTCACTTAGGAGTGAGAGAAGATAAGGGTCTGAAAATTGGACCCTGGACCAGTTCAACATGTACAAGTTGGGAAGAGGAAAACCCAGTAAAGGAGAAAGAAGATACAGTGAGTGAGACAGTTGTATCACCAGTTGAGTGTCTAGGAAGCCAAGAGAGGAGCAGCTCATCACCTGGGTGGAGCGCTGCTAAGAGGACAGAGGACTGACCATTGGATTTAGCAACCGGAGACTGTGGGCCTAGATAAGGACAGTTTCTGTGACATAGTGGATTGTGGACCAGTGTGGCAGGGGTTAATCAAGGAGAACAAGGGTGAAGATAACTCTTGAGGAGTTTTGGCATGGCATAGTAAGAGAGATCTGAGGTCAAGAGACTCTACCATTGTCAGTTTTGGTCTGTGAATTCAATGAGTAATTTAACATACAAAGGGTCAGTTTTCTCTTCCTCTCCTCTCCTCTCCTCTCCTCTCCTCTCCTCTCCTCTCCTCTCCTATCCTCTCCTCTCCTCTCCTCTCCTCTCCTCTCCTCTCCTCTCCTCTCCTCTCCTCTCCTCTCTCTTTCTTTCTTTTTAAAATTTTATTTATTTGAGAGAGAGAGTGAGAGAGAGAGAAAGCACAGAGGGAGGAGGGTCAGAGGGAGAAGTGGGCTCCCCGCTAGTGGGGTGCGTGATGCGGGACTCAGTCTTGGGACTCCGGGATCATGATCTGAGCCGAAGGCAGATGCCTAACCGACTGAGCCACCCAGGTGCCTGAAGGCTCAGTTTTCTTATCTTTAAATGAAAATTGTGATATTCTCTCGGGGAACAAAAGTGATAGTAGATGTTCAAGTACTTTGTGGCTATCATTGACTTAATCAGACACAATAGTCTTTGCCACAGTGACCTTCATCCTTAAAGTCACTTAGCCAAGAAAAAGAAAAAGGAAGGGGGGTGCCTGGGTGGCTCAGTCGTTAAGCGTCTGCCTTCGGCTCAGGTCATGGTTCCAGGGTCCTGG